CGTGTCACATCTCACAACTGCAGCTTTATCTAAGCATCTGCCGCACATGATATTTTCAGGAACAGCATAAGTGGCTTCCAGCAATTCTTTAAATATTGTTGACCATTGCTCTTCCCAGCTTTCAGTCAAGAGTGTCTGCCTTTCTGCCCAATTTTGTCTCTTTGGTGGGTTGCTTTCTTGCAACCTCTGCAAAAGCTCCTGTGTCTCCAACAGGAATTCTTTCATTTCTCCTTTACAAAAATGACAAAAACATTTCCACATTGTAGTAACAGTGCGTCTAATACAATCAACAAGAACAATGATTATGACAACAAAATCACAGAAAGTGTAAAATCATATTCTTACACTTTGAACTAAAACAAGCTTTAACCCTTTACACCTTAACACCAGTATGCAAACTCTCCACACTATTCTCTTTACATTTCCTTAGGTGCTGACAAGGAGAATTGTTTAACTATAAAGACCTCCTTGAGTTAATGATCATTTATTCTTGTGACCTAAATGTGTGTTTCAAGGATGATAGGTTAAGGAGAAATTAGGTGCTAATCACTCTTAGAGGTTAAAGGGTTAAGCCAAAAGCACCGGCCAATTCCAGGTTCAAGGAAATGTATGATTAGTTCATCAGGTTTTTAATGCCAACAGCACAAAAATTAAAATGTATGCCAAAGGGTGTATGACTCCTACCCAAAATTTCTTCACCCTCCTACCGATTTAAGGAGGTTTCAATGCCTCTTGCCTTGCCCCAACAACTCCAACCTTGTATGACTAAAGTAATGTGGGACTGAGTGACTCAACTGTATTTTTTTTATACTCTAGACCTTTACTTATGAGCCACCATGTAAATAATCTGACATTATCCCTTTCCACCCTAACATCGGTATGTATATTCTCCTTACTGTTCCCTATACATTCCCTGAGGTGCTGATGAGGAGAATTTGTTTCATAATACAGAGCTTCTCTAGTTGGTGACCATTTCCTTTATTCTCATTACCTTAATGTGTGATTTGGGGGTGATATTGTGGGGAGAAATTAGATGCTACTCACTCTAAGGGGTTAAAAGGTTACTTGAATTACTTCACAAATAACTCCACCACAGAGAACATAACAAAAGCGCACATTAATATCAACCTTGATATTTATGATTACAAACCTCCTACTGTACCGGACGCGCACGTAGTTTGATCCGCATTTTCATGTCCATAACTTGCGCTCGCATTCTCTGAAAGGTCTTTAGATAAAGAAGAAACGGGATCGACTCAGAGCTAACAAGCTGAGGAAAAGTTGATGTAGCATGTTCATTAATGAAAGCTAATATGATGATTCACCAGAAAATATGCTTACCATCACGTTCATGATGAGCTGAGGTTTCAAGGATAGAATTCGTATCTTTTCGTCTTCTTTTCGACTGACCAGAGTATGTTCCCTTATTATTACGAAGTCCTGAAACGGGGTCACTACCATATTCATACTGCCGAGCTTTCCGCTCTTTATTCTTTGACAAACCCAACAATCCTTTTCCTTTACTAAGAAGCTCGGACATCGAGGGCAGCTTTCGTTTTCGGTATACCCCTATAAACAATTAGACGAGAGTAAGACTGATGAAGACAAGCAGTATGCAGTCGAAACGTCGCGATTCACATCATATGTGACAACATCGTGAGACAAACGATAATGTTTTATTCTTAATGAGACTACAGCTTACAAAGGGTCGAGGAAAAGACTGATTCTAAATTAGCGAAATAAGAGTTACGGTAGCGAATGAAGTTAAGACTTCACAAAATAACCCATCACAACTGAACGCACATTTACCCCTTTCCTCCGCCATCTTGAATGTTGTAAGACAGTGGAACCGAGTCCTTCTCTTTATTTAACACATGTAAAGAGCATTGGTAAAGAGTGCCACGAAATTACTATATCCGTAAATTTGGTGCCAATTTAGAAATAACGATAATCGTAATTTCGGTCTCGAGATCATGTTGGGCTGATCGCCTAAGTGCGAGCAATTTCGAGCCCAGGGTCACTCGGGGTCCTTGTCAGCGGTATGGTCGCCAAATAATTACGATCGAAGCTGGAGTGAACCACGTGTTTGTGTTAGTGTAACACAGTGCAGTGCCCCCTAGGTTAGCACATGTTGAATTCGTTGTAGGAAGGGGTTTTCATCGTGTAATTACAATCCGCTAGAAGTTCTTGAATTTAAGATGTCAGGGTAAATTCATTTTGTGAGGGAAATTTCCATAACGTAGTTCATGGCCCGTCTGGCACGATCATGAGGCGACAACAAGTATGTGTGATAATAATTGTAATCGGCTGGATTTCAAACATATTCCCAAGTAGTTCTCATAATCTAATTCGTAGCTATTTGAAACCCTTTCCTTAACGATTATTTCTAACTTTTGTTCAACTTGTGTGTCGCAATTGTAGGTTTAAAGTCCCTGAAGTTATAGAAAGAAGAGATTTGATGGAAAGCTCGCGGTTGGAACTCTTCGAACGCATATTGTGAAGTAGATGATAAGAAATTTCAGGATCAATGCTTTCTGAAGGTTTGCGAACCATATTCATTACGTTTGTGGTGTTAAAGTTTCAAAGCCTGCCGTTATTCTAGTGCACCATACAGACCAAACCTCCTCTCTTTTGAGATATTTTGGTGATTTATCCGATATGGCTTGTATGGTTTGTTTGTATTTAAAAGTTGAATGATCGATTCAAACCAACCCTCTGAGTTTGCTAGGGATTTTCTTTCATTGGCGCACGTTTTTGCGAGACTAGTCTTTGAGAAAGACAAATGAGAAGGTTTTGATAGTCAGCTTTTTTTCGTTCAGTAGTCAGTTTGGACATTTTATCGGTTTGGAGGTTGATACAGAGGTCGCTAGCACAGAACTTACACTGAAATAAAACACACTCAGCTATGGTTACAACCTGCCACAATTAAAAAAGACAGAAAATCATACTATTTCATCGCAAGAAGTCCTCAGGTTTGCTTCTGAAATGAATTAAGGTCTATTTTTAAAATATTGGCTTTTGAATAATGTAGTTGTTACAACTGACATTCCTGAAAAATTTGTCTACATTGTTTCATTTACTGCAAAAGTTTTAACTGCTAGAAACTATGAAACCTTCGCTACAAAAAAACAACAGTTTTTACAAATGACCAAATTGTTAGATATGGAATCAACAATCTAAGATACATTGAACCAGGTTCACCAGTGGGAAAAATAAGTCTGTGTTTCATACATGGGTCTAAATGACTACATTTGACTAAATTAAATTGCATGCTTACAGCTGTACTTCCCTTTAGTTCTATTTAGAAGGAATAATCAAGGGATGTTAATGGATGCATAGGTGTATTAAAATGCAGTGGTCTGTAAGGAACCAGTTTAAAAGCTTATTTTACAATAAGTCCACAAGTTCCCATTTATCTCGGCAAATCAATCCATTGTTTCTATAGAGAAGAAAGCACATATTATATAGCAAACAAGTTTTTGTTGTGGATAACACACATTGTTTTTTATATTGGCACACTTTTGGAACAAATATGCAGACAATCGTGTTGTTTTTTGTGACTGAAGTGGGCAATAGAGACAGCTCTTGCAGTTTTGTCTTACAGTTGGATTTAGCAATCCAACCATTTGGTATTCTTTTTCTTCTTCTTCTTTTGGGGACACGCTGTTAATATAGCTTGTAATAGCCCCCTTAAGGTATTCCTTGTTTACTTCTGGCTCTAGAGATTGAGAAAAGGGTTATAAATGAGAGACATAAAACTTTAATAAAAGCAGTCTTGTGCAGGAAATCTCAGCAACATGAGTTCTGCTTGATAATGGACAACTGGCAAAGAACGTATTTGAAAGAACAATAACATTAACCAGTAGTATGATGATGACCTTTATTTATAATTGATAGTATTTTAAGCTTCAAGCTTGTGGGGTCCTGTGAAGAATAAAGAAAATTACATGTTATGCAAATGTAACTTGAGTTTGAAAATAGAAAATGATATAATTTCATAATGTAACTTCTTGAGTAAAAACAAAATCAGTATGTATAAGGCAAGCAGTAGAAGGGGAAAGAATGTCAAATTTGAATTCCTGAAAGTAGTCTCTGGTGAGTAGGCATTTTTCAGATTATTGAGACTCGAGCTTCCAACTTCTTGTACATAGTAGCAAACAGTGTTCCATAACACAGCATTTCAATATTTAAGCAAGTCTTTCATGTATCTTGTTTGGAACCTGGGTACTGTCAAAAAGTCGCATCCCTTCAGTGAGTAACCATTTTAGCAATATTAAAGGATGTTTTCAGACAGGATATTTGAGCATTGTAAGAGGATGTTTGAGACTCAGTGTAATAACAAAGAGCACCATAAGCATGTGAAAACGTTGGGTGCCTGTTTATTTATTTTTTTTGGAAAGTGCCTCTAACAATCCTTTACAACTCCATTTAATAGATAAGATAGGCCAGCACAAAACAAATCTGGTTGTATGCAAAATCCTCCCTCAGGTTATTGCAAACAGTACAGAGTTTCCATTGCATTTCATACGATCCTAATATGACTCTCCCAAATGCGTTGGAGGAGACCTCTAATTGCTTGGCCATCATCTGCCTGTTGAAATGCTTGCTCTCTCTCTCTCTCTCTCTCTCTCTCTCTCTCTCTCTCTGAAAAGTGATGTAAATACCAATCAAGCAAATGTCAATGAACTTGTTATCTTAGACAGGAGCAACCATTATTGTTTGGTCAACATTTCAAAAGAGGTGGTGTGTTGTTGTGGTAGAAAATGGTGGTGATGTAGTTCCAATGGTGGCATGTGAAAAGCAACAATTTGATAGCAACTTACATAGTGTTCTTGATGCTACTGGTGGTTTGGAGAGACAGAAATGTTAAAATAAAGTTGAAAGACAAATTTAGATTACAACCATGGGAGAAAACTGACATCTCATCCAGTACTTCTCTGTATGATGGTGGGTGTGGATTGGTAAGAGAGTAAAGGAGTTTATAAGCAGTGTTTGAAAGATCTGAAATTGGGAAAAAGATGATTCAAGTGTCAGAAAGAGCTTGCAAGATTTCATAATCAAATCTTAACTAGTATTGAAAGCTATGATATCTTGCAAGAGCTTATGAAGATCTCCTAAGAACCTTTAAGAGATTATTAAGATTTTATTGATAAAATATATGTAAAGTGAGAATCACAAGGTGAGCTTCAACAGGTTTTATTATCAACAACAGGTGATTTGATTCAACAAAAACAATAGAAATTTTAGGCAAATCAATGTCAACAACATTAGAGAAAACTATAGCCTTGGCAAGGTTGGCATTTTAGGAGGTGGAAGAGGTGTTAATGCAGTTAAGTTTTTAAATCTTAAATATATTTGTAAAAAATAAAGACAAGCAAACAATGAGGGAATTGATGTGTTTTAAATATTGTTCATTACACTTTTATCCCAACTCCTGGAAGCTAAATCCTCTGGATAACTTAGGTTTTGTATCAGAAGGTGATTTGCAAACATGGAAAGAATACATGTAATGAATGAAAATGAACTTTTGGGGGGGCATGCTTGTGGATTTCTATTCAATTTCTCTAAAGTGACGGAGAATGCGTCTTCAACATCTTCAGTGATGTTGCTATGGGGTCTGATAGTCACTAAATTGAAATATCATAGATTGTTATGTTATACTACTGATATCAACCTTTAATTACTATAAATAAGCCAGAAATCCAACGATTTTGCTTGAGCTGCCTTGAACTCAAGGCTGTATAATTACTGAACAATTATTGCAAGAGGCTGAGTATGATATGAATAGTTATGCAGATCAAGGGGGTTATCCGCCAAAGCCGAAGGCTTGAGCCCAGTGGATAACACCCTCTGAGATCTGTATATCTTCATACCATACGAAAGCCGAGTTCAATAAATGTTTAATTATTCATTCAAAATATTTACACGGCAAAACAAAACGGTGACTGAAAGTAATTTAGTGAATGATATTAAAGTTACTGTATGTCATTTACTTGAAAAGTGCCAAAATTACACTTTCTGTTTTGTTGCGGTTGGTAAATTTGTTTGCTATGTCAATGGTGGAAAGCCTGTCCGTTCTTTCTTTGTGCATGTTTAAAACTGTCAGGTTACTAAATTGTTCTTGGTTCATTCTTGAACGGAGCCATGTTTTTAGCCTCTGGGCAGTTGAAAAGGATCTTTCACCAGCTGCACTTGTTGCTAGATTTACGAGAATCACCTTACATAACGTGATAACTTCTTTTATCATTTCCCGTTCTGGGTTGGGTAGCTCTTTAATTTTTACTATGATGTCGTCCAAACAAAAATAATCACCATCCTTCAGCAGCACTTGTAAAATTTCCATCTGGGCGGTTAACACTGAAATATTGACATCATCGTTGTACAGTTTTTCCATAAACTTTAGCTCTTCGGATTTGTCCTGCGAATTCAGGGTCTTAATTAAGAGAGACTCCATCTTTGCATACGTATCAAAGCTTGGCTGGTCAAACCGCTGGTCAATAGCGTTCATCATCAAGTCAATAGCTTCAAAGTATATTTGCCTGTAATAGTCTTGTGCGGTCACAGGATATGTTAGCTCTCCAGTGCCAATTTCAATTCTTCTTGGTGCGCAAGTTCTCCTTGGTAACATCGGTCCACTCATGGAGGGATAGCTTTTACTTTTCAGCAAAACTACATCATAAAATGATCTGAAGCTCGTATCGTTTCGCATCTTCTGCAGAACGTCTTTTGTAAGACAAAGCTACCTGTTTGCCACTTATAGCTGACATCTTTGTTTGCTGTAAGGTTCTTGATAAGTTATCTGTGTGAGAAAACAGCCTCTGTCCTAAATTCAACCCAAAAAAGAAGTAAAAAGAGTTCATTTGCACTTGGCATCCAATGATCCTTCCACGTATATCGTATTTATGTTGCCGTGTACCATGTGCACTTTGTTCGTAATAACTGCTGGATTGAATGTTCCTTGATGACCAGAGCTATACACA